AAGTTATACGAAACATCTTCGTAATGCTGTCACTTTTCTCAGTGTAAATCAGCAAAGGTATATACAAAGTAGTAAAGTTAGGTAAAAAAAAATTTAAAGTAATGCAAGTTATTTGTTAACCTAAAGTTAACCCAAATATGACATTTTGCAATACTCAACTAAATTATTTTCAATATAAAGTGAAAACAGAGGTATCAAATGATATTGCTAAAAGCATAAATTTTCAAATTATAATTGAAAAAAGAATAAAGATCTACAAACTTTTACTACTTGTATTAAAATATAGTTTAAATTGGTTCGAAATAAATTAGTTATGCAATTGTGAGGTACTTAACTATATAAAGAAAAAACATGAAATGCTAGATAATATAGTTCAAAGTCAACTTACGTATTTAAAAATTGAATTTAAGGAAAAGGTAAACAAATTAAAGTATTACTTAAGTTCAATAATTATACAGATTTACTACCAATGAAGAGAAAAAAATTCTTAATAAATGTTTCAGTTAAATAGTCATAATAAAGAATTAATTATAAAGGGAAGAAATTCAAAATCTAAAAAAAATGTAGAATTTAATTTACTAAATTTAATAAAAAGTAGGTAAAGATATTGAATAAATCACTGCACTTAGATTCAAATTGCAAGAAAAAATTATAAATATATTTCTATACACTCTCCTAATATGGTAAATGCAAACTGACGTTTCAGTTTCAAAAACTTGTACAGAATCATATTAATAACCGATAGATACAGTGTTAAGCAAGCAAATGAAAAGAAAATAAAATACAAAATGTATTAATATAATTCGTACACTCTCCTAAATTGGTAATTTCAAACTAGATAGTTTCAAATACTTATCAAAAATTATACTAACAAATAAAGAGAAATATAAATAGAAAATTTTGTTAACTAAGAAATTAGGTAGAAATTTTTTTATAAAAAAAATACTATTAGTAACTGAATACATATTACCAAAAATTAAGGAAGCTATTACAGATAGTATTGCTTTAAAACATAAGCAGTAGCAGACAATTAAAAGTTAGAAGGTAATGTCTGGTCTGACTAATAATTATTCCATTGGTGTAAAATGAAACAATTAACTACAGGCAGAATAACTTGGTCGAGTAGGTAATAGCAGAATAATAAAAAGCTTAATATAATATTCTGGCCTGACATTAAATATGAAAAATTTAGTAATATTTTAACGTATTAGAAGGAACGGTATGGAAATGAAGACAATTGCAGAATATATTATTCACTGTTAGAGGTATCGTTATTAACGTTAAGTATGACTTCATTATCAACATCTTCAGATAAATGTAAAAAGCAATATATTTAATTAATTAAAGGCACAAAGTTTTATCACTAACCAAAAAATTTTTTACTCGATAGGCACAAAAATCAACTTTAGGTAAAAATCCAAAAACTATACACTTTTATTAGTGTATAATGAATATATAGATACATCACTAGCAAAATAATAAATATGTGTAGATAAATATGTAAAAATATGTATAAATAAGCACTGAACCTAGTACAAAATGCAGATACTATACAAAATTTGACGATACGATACACAGATTTATAGAAAAGGTTGAAATAATAAGTAAGAAGGTATTAGTTGAAATATAGAAGACATGCAGTTAGTATCATTATTCTCTGTGAAATACCTATGTGAATTAGAACGATAAGTTATAAGGAATCTATTTCAAAGTAACGAGCTATTTAACACAGATGTTGGGCGCCATTTTGTAACGTGATCTTGTTATGTTATCTATTTTTATAGTGTTTTAAGCTCTTATGACTTTGGGGAGTGGGTTAGGTTATTAAACAACTCGTATTACTTTGAAAAAGAATGTTAAGCGCCACTATATTTAAAACTTACTAAACTTGACTATCGATTAGTGATGAAAATATAAAAAATCACTAACAATTAAGATATTATAATTAAACAAGGTTTCAGATAAGGTAGCGACAAATTCTAATTCACAGAAACTTACTTTTTCAAATTTAAATGATTTATTCAAGACTTATCTGTTAAATAATAGGTAGTATTTAAGAAGAGACTTGTAGAGGCCTTCTTCAAGTATAAATTTTCATAGGTAAACTTAAATCTCATAAACTTCTTTAGATGACTCGAACTAAACCTCTTGATATACTTGAAATAAACTTCTGTAGCTGGAACTAAACTTCTAAGTTTCTATACTTCTAAACGTCTAAACATGCAGCTTGAACTTTCTTCTAAACTTCTAAACATCTAAACAATCTGACTTGTGAGAAAAAAAGGACTTTTTCTTTAACCCCTTATACTTAATCTAAACAATCTCTTTAGATATAACTCCTACAGAACCGTCTAGATATAGCCAGGCTACAAGGAAAAAGGTAAAATATCAAGAAAGGGACTATGAAGTTTATATAGGAAACAGATAAAATGCTTTTTACTATTAAATGAACAATTTAAAGTATTAAATGAATAGCTTCACAGAGACCAAAATTAATATGAAAAGGAAAAATCTTATTTAACATATTTAAATATACTAAAGCATATTATCTCTTTCCTAACAAAATAATAGATAAAATTATATGAAACATGTGATTCTTGTGTTATTCAATGTGTTGAGGTTATGTTTCAAATTTGACATTTTCATTGAAAATTCTTGTACAAAATATACAGGTTGTTTCAAAAAGGTATGTCATAAATTAAACCACGTATGTATTCTTGGGTCAAAATAGAACGATTAAACCGTACTTACCTATATACAAAAGTGCACCCAAAAATAGTTACAAGATAAAAATTTAAATGAATTTTTTTAACATTGCTCTTAAACCGTTTGATATATTTTCATGAAATTTTATATGACGTGTTGGAATACTATGACTAATAAAATCGAAGTAGAGGCAAAATAATTTTTTTATTTTTGTAGAATTTGGGAGGGGGTCACCGCCCCTTCCTCTAATCAACTTTTTTGTAATATAAAATTTTAAAAAAAATCGAACGCTACTGAAATGCAACATCTATTTGAAAACTTTTTTGTCTCTTAGTATTTGTTTGTAAAATGTTTGGTTTAGACGATACAGCCACTTAAAATGACATATTTAATGTAAATTATACGTATGCAAAAATAAAAAAAAATATTTTGCCTCTACTTCGATTTTGTTAGTCATGGTATTCCAACACGTCATATAAAATTTTATGAAAAAATGTCAAAGGGTTTGAGAGCAATGTTAAAAAAATTCATTTAAATTTTTATCTTATACACCCTGTAACTATTTTTGGGTGCACTTTTGTATATAGGTAAGTACGGTTTATTCGTTCTATTTTTGACCCAAGAATACGTGGTATAATTTATGACATACCTTTTTGAAACACCCTGTATATTTTCAACAATATATTGGTATAAAAGCTTACCTTATAAAATCAGACGGTCATTAAGAATATTAATAGACAATTAGTACATCGGATGTCCAAGATAAAAGATAATTAAAAATTCAATAAATCAACTTGCTTGTTGACAGAGACGAATCGAAATAATCATCCAACTTTTGACATAAGGCATAAACGACAAATGACATTTGTGTAGAGATGTTGGTGTCAAAATAACGAAAACGGTTCCAACCGTTACAATGTTTGGCTCTAAATAACGAAAACGGTTCCAACCGTTACAAATTATGATATAATAGGACGGGGTGGCGTATCCAAAAATTACCTTTCATCACTTGAACTATTCCAAAAACGATTTATTCAAATCATTCTGCAGAAGATTGTCCATTATGTATTTAATTTTGCATACTAGAAAAGAAAATTAATTTTTTATAGAGTTTTAATGTTAGATAAAGTTACTGTTATTTTTTTTTTGGACCCCAATTGTATCATTGTAAATGTTTTTTATAGAATACTAAAAGTTTAGAACAGTGGCAGCATATATATCGTTCCTAGTGCCGATAAAGCACTTTCTAGAGATGATGCTGTTCTACACTTTTTAGAAGATGTTATCAAATATTATAAGACTTTTTTTACTGATGGTTCTGTTAGCAAAATAAAAAGGGGAAGCTGAAATTAAAGGATGAGGTAATACCATATACATTCCCAAATCTCCCTTTATACTTGTATTACAACAAAAAAATCTGTTAACTGTGTTTTATTTTACTCTTAAAACTATATATTGGTTCAATTAAAAAAAAATTTGCCACAAAATTGTACCTAATTTGTATTTCATATAGAAAAAATTAAATAATTTATCAATAAAAATATACAAGACTTATTTAGAAATAAATACAACAGTATGTTTTGTGCTTTATTTAGCTATAAACAAGTTTATTTTTATTATTTTGACAAAATTATGTATAATTCCCATAAGAAGCCATGTATTTTGAACACCGTATGCAGTACCAGCGCCCATGCAGTTAATTATAGAAGCTTAATTAGCATGCGTTTTTTGGGACCGTATTTTGAGTATACCGATTCTTCTTCTTATCTCTAGTCTTCATACACATAATTTAAAATGAATTGTGCTAGGCGGGGGAGATCACAGTGTCAGGCTGTCAGAATTCTGTGAATTTAGGACCTTGGCAAATTCTTAGAATGCATTAAACTATTGTTAGAAAGTTATGTCTTCTAAAATCGCTTCAAAGCCCATGGTTCACTTAATTCCACCCTAGACATTGCGTGTATATAAATCAAATGATAGAAACGATAATAAAGTAATTAAATATTTTCATAAATAATGCGCTTTCAAAAATGTATGATTTGTGTACTTTAGTGTATCGGTTATCGATTTTCCAATTTTTCACTATATTATTTAATTATAAAGAAATTTTAATTTAATATAAATTATTAAAAGTTATTCAGTAAGTAAAAATAAAATTCTTTATAATTTATAACTGGCGGACTCCTTCCAGTTAAAAGCAGCACAACATCCCTGTATATCAAACTGCTTTATGTTTTTCGAAAATCGTACCTAAGAACTCACAACAAACCAATAAATAATCATTACCTGCGTTACTGACTTACAAACAACAGCCTGAATTTTATATAGCCAAAAAGTTGTGAATTACTTGTACACTACATTAGACAGGCGACTGGTTTTCACAACATAATTATTTGGAATTATTTAGATGATGATGATAATAATAATGGGTTAATATTAATGACCCGACATGAAAAACGAAAGTAAAGGAATTTCGAACCAGTTTTTAAGTTGGAGTGCACGTACTTAAGGTAGTTTAGCTTTATGGATATTTTATAAATATCCAAATTAAGAATTTGGTTAAAAGTTTTATTAAAAAGCTTACTGTGCAAGTTGTCGTGATCTCACCGGATTATTTCAGAATTATGGTAAGTTTTTAAATCAGATTTTTTTTATAAATATGTAGTGGTTGCAATATATCAAAAATAAAACAAAAAATTATGTTAGTAGTAATTAGGTAGATAGAAAGTTTAGTTACGGACCAAATTTTTAAAAATAAAATGAAATAAACTAAAAATGTAATTTTTTTTATTAAAAAATTCTATAAAAATATTGTTCAGGTCAGAGTCTTCTATATTTTTAAAGCTATATATTTTGAGTAAATTATTGTTTATACGGGGTGAGCCGTAACTGTAAATGGAACAAAAAGTAATATCAGATTAGTTGGACCAAAATAGAAAATTTTAACCAATGGGCTAGTAAGTAGAGAGATGCAAATTGAAAAATTTTACAATAATTCTAACATTTTTTTAAACTTCGTGCACAAAGATAAATTCATGCTCATTTTAACCAAAAAATAAGCAGTTTCGGGCATGTCAGAATCTTTGTTTAAGAAATTATTAAGCACGCATGCTTAAAAATCGTTTCTAAATGAATGATTAAATCGAGTACCAAATTGTTCAATTAAATATATACAGGGTAGCTGTTAAAGATGGAACCAAACATATAGTGCTTAAACGGTTCAACATAAAAAACCCAAAATTTCAGAATTTCAACTAAATACATTTGAGCATATTTTAGCCCAAAAATTATTTTTTTATAATTACAAAATTTTAAACATTGCCGCCATCTTTATTTTTTTAAATAGCAACATAGGTCAAGTGATATACCATTTGAAAGGGTTTAACACCCTGATTACAAAAATGTATCACATATGGGGTCTAAACACAAATGCACAGCCTCATACGCTCCCTATTAATATCCTTTCTGTTGTGTTTAGACTCCATGTGTAATAGATTTTTGTAATTAGGGCGTTAAACCCTTTCAAATGGTATATCACATGACCTATGTTGCTATTTAAAAAAATCAAGATGGCGGCCATGCTTAAAATTTTATAATTATAAAAAAATATTTTTTGGGCTTAAATATGCGCAAATATATTTAGTAGAAATTCTGAAATTTTGGGTTTTGTATGTTGAACCGTTTAAGCACTATAGGTTTGGTTCCATCTTTAACAGCTACCCTGTATATATTAGACTGGGCCAAAACAATTGACTATTTTTTTTTTGAAAAATATATCGAGAATGTCATTCAGGATGACAATAAAAATTTCGTGAAAATTTGAGCCCTTAATAATTATTTTAAGAGGTCTATTTTTGATTTTTAATCATAATTTGATGTTTTACGTTAGAACTATCAAAAAATTAAAGTGAAAAAAAATTATTTTTATATAAAATTGAATTCTCTACAAAAAAGGTCTGATTGAAAATTTTCGTCAATTTTCGTCAGACGAGCCGTTTTCGAGTAATTGAGCTTAATAGATCGATGTGTTTTTTCGATTTGTCCTTTTTACTTTGAAATTTTGTAACTAATGAATCAATGAATATTTATAAAATCTCACGTCGGATTCTTAAAGGAAATTTAATGTTCTACAAAAAAGGTCTCTTAAAATTTTTGCCTAAATTTAATTCTTCAAAAGTTATTCACGATTAAAATCAAAGAAAAACATGAAATTTTTTTGTAGAGAATTTAATTTTATATAAAAATAAGCGAAAAGGATTTTTTTTTACTTTAATGTTTTGATAGTTCTAACGTAAAACATCAAATAATGACTAAAAATCAAAAATAGCGATGATAGACCTCTTAAAATTAATATTAAGGGCTCAAATTTTCACGAAATTTTTCTTTTGTCATCCTGAATGAGATTCTCGATATATTTTTTCAAAAAAAAAATAGTCCATTTTTTTGGCCCAGTCTAATATACAGGGTGTTTAAAAAAAAGTGTCACAAAATAAAATGGTGAATAGTATGACCCAAAAAAAAGCAGAAAAGTCTTAATAAATATATGACCGCAAATTAACGGTTTCGGAGATACGGACCATTTTGTGTTTATAACAATTTTTATTATTATAAAAAAACAATGATATTTATAAACAATCAATAACAACATAGAGTTAAATGAGATGTTCAAATACTGACGTAGCGCTTCCCTCGCATTGCCATTTGCACGACCGTACATAAAATGCATGTCAGCTAATTCAATATTTGTGTAAACAGGCATAACGAAAATTTATAAAATTATTCACCCACAACAAAATAATAACTGCAAATAGTATCTATGAAAAAACATCGGTAGACTCCGATAAGAAAAGCAAGTTTTTGAGGATTAAAAAAGATAATCAAAAAATGATACAAAATACAAAACACTCCGTATTTCTGAAACCATTCATTTGCGGACATATGCATATTCTGCATGTTTTGGCCCATACTACCCCCCCGTTTTATTTTGTGACACTTTTTTTTAACACCCTGTATATTCTTATTTCTAATATTTAAAATAAAAATCGTTCATGTTTGATTTTATTATTAAAATACTTAATTCAAGATTTTCCAAGGTTTTAATATTAGAATGCAATGCTTAATTTAGGAATTCTAGGTGAATAATTTAAGTTTGGACATTGTTGGTTTAAGAATGATAGCTGCCCTTATATAAGCACTATCATTCTTAAATCAAGCATGTTTATTCTATATTTGAATATGCAGCGTGCTTAACGATATTATTTTATTTCTTAATTTAAGAATTAATTTATTTTTAATTTGATAATAGATAACTCTTAAATTAAGAATTATTTTGCTTCTCTTAAGTATTTTGGAGAAGCCTAAACAAAGCCCGTTTTGTCCTTTTTTTAAGTATGCCTTAAAAGTTTCAACTTCTGATTGCAAATACATTTTTATATTTTTATATTTATTTTTTTATACAAAAAGAGGATGATTTGAAGTACACTTTAGCATTTCGTTTTTGATTGCAAAATAAATGCTTCCATGCACCAGAATTCTAAAGTATAATAAAATTGTTAAAAACGCTCAACGTTGCGTTCTTTTTTAGATTGAATGAATAATTTTTTTATTCGAAACTTCATTTCAATCCCACTTTTGTAAAAAAGCAAATTCGAAATTAAAATGTTCGATTTTTTCTAGTGAAGACATAAATAGGCTCTTAATTAAATTTAGTTTAAAATCAGCAATACTTTGTAGGATTAAAAATAAGTATGATAAGGTTGATAAAATTTTTATTAGAGAATAACACATTACCTATATAAAAATATTAAAAACCTATTAACAAACAAGTTAATCGAGGTTATAGAGTAGTAACTCCGTAATTAAACTCTAACTGGGAAACTACGAGTATACAAATATTAAAAGTAATTATAAGAAACCGACTTAAAAATCGTGCAGATGCCGTCACTACATCTTAACCAAATCTATATGGGGCCACCCCTGAGGTACCCCGTTACTAAAAAAAAAAAGAGAATCATAGAAATCGGATAAGGTGGTAAAGAATTATCGCTTCACATACATAAAAAATGAAGAGTTTGAGGATTTTTCTCATAAATTCAATTATTAGATTTGGACCAAATTTTTTATGGGACTACCCCTGAGGTACCCCCTTACTAACAAAAAAAGAATTATAGAAATTGGACACCGTGTTAAAGAATTATCGCTGAACATACATAAAAAAAAATATTACGACGAATTGAGAACCTCCTCCTTTTTTAAGTCGGTTAAAAAGTAATCCAAAAAAGACCAAGTAGGTGATAAGTGAGTGTGTGTAAAGAGATTTACATAAATCTGATAAGGTCGGATAATTAATTTAATATTTAATACATTTTTGTAAGTTCAAATTGCATGCTGATAGAAGCCAAGGTCCGACGGGTTGACCGACCGGTGGCTTTTTTCGCAGTGTGATAAGATAAGCAGGTAGATACGAAAGGAATACATTTAATTGAACAGGTTCGGCTCAGATGTAGTAGGTTTTTGATACACCAAAACGTGCACTGGACGCCGAAACTGTTGAGTAAAAGAAAAATAAAAGAGTAAATAATGGAACGCATTTTGGAACAAATAAAAAGCAAATTAGATAGAAACATAAAATCGAAGGAAAGCTAAATTATCTTCAAAAAGAATTAATGGAAATCAGAAACGAAAATCAAGGGATTAAAATTGAAAATAAATAGCTGAGTGTAGAGCTAAAAACACAAGAAGGAAGAATAATGTAACTAGAAAGGGAAACTAGGAAAAACAATCTTTGAAATTGAGGAAACTGATAGGGAAGATATTATTATGTTAATTATGAATAATAAAACAAAAGAAGTGATGAAGAAACTCGCAGTGGAACACAATGAAAAAGAGGACATAGCTGAATTAAGAAGAATAGGGAATAAAATTGAAAACAAAGTAAGGCCAATGTTAGTTGAATTCAGGGATTGGCACAAAAAAAGAGAAATAATTAAAGCAACATCAAAGCTAAGAGGTACAAATGTATTTATAGATGAAGATTATCTGAAAGAATTACAAAAAAGCGAAAAATAATAAGAAAGCATATGAAGGAAGCAAGAGAGAATGGACTTAAAGCAAACATAAATAAAAGAAAAAAAAATATATATAAATGATAAGATGTTTTCAGTAGAAAATTTAGGTTATGGAAACACAACAGCACATTTAACAAAGAACAAAGAGAAAGAGGAAAAGCTGGAAGAACATTTAGCGAAAGATCACTAGGTAAGGGGGCAGATCAGTATAAAATGGTAAACGAGATAACAAAAAACACAGGAAATAATGAGTACACTCTAAAAAATAAGCAAACAATATAGAGAAAGAAAAGAAAAACAAAGGACTGAAAATAAAGAAAACGACTTGGCAAAGAACTGGACAAGAAACAGAAATAAAACAGAGAATGCTGAAAGAAAAAAAATTAGAGAAAAGAAAAATATTAAAAAAAAGATAATGTAGAAGTGAATAAGGAATAAGTACTGGAATGTTGGAACTATGTTAGAACCTGGAAAAATGCCAGAAATATGATTAGAAATCAATAGATATGGCATAGTTATTCAGGAAATAAGATGGGAAGGCAAAGGAATTAAGAAAAAAAGATTTACATTATTCTGGTTGAAAAGGGAGTTGATGCTAGGTGATTTACAAGAAAAAACAATATAATTTAACCCAATAAATAAAATAAAAGCCTACCTACGAGTAAAAGCAAAACCATTCAATATATTATTACTTAATATATATGCCTCTACGGAAAACACTAAACCAGAGAAGAAAGAGGCTTTCTACGCTAAAGTAGAAGAACAAATAGAAAAAATTTTAAGGAAGATGTAGTGCTTGGATTTGAATGCAAAAATGGGCAAATAGGCATATAGAGCAAGTAGCAGGAAAATACACCATACATGAAAAATCAAAGGACAATGGACAAAGATTATGTAACCTAGCAACCTAAATAAACATGATCATAAGCTCTACAAAATTTAAACATCTCAAAATGCATAAAATGTCTTGAATATCACCTGACGGAAAAACATACAACCAAATTGATCATGTACTCATCACAAAAAGAAAATATTTGACAATAAAAGATGTAAAGACATTTAGAGGAGCATGTGCAGATTCTGTTCATTACACTGTAACTGCTACCTTAAAACAAAAAGTGAAAAGAGCAAAAAGAACTTAAAACAATGCAACACAAATGGGATGTATGTCAACTAAACAACGAAAAATTTTAAAATAAATATGCAGAGAAAGTAAAACCGATATTAAACAATTTCAGTAAAATCGTGTGGTGAGCCTATTTGTCGGTAATCGGCCATGATTGACAGTGATTGTCAGAAATCGATGAGTTGTCGATTTTTTACACGCGGATCAAAGGTAATCGCCTATAGTTGCTTTTGTGTGTCCACGCCATTATTGCCAACCGTACGATTTAAATCGTAATTATACGATTTTTTAACTCTCTGTACGATGTACGATCGCATCTGTGAGATCGTACGTAAAAATACGATTTTTCCTTTTTTGATAGGTTTCATCTAAATATCTGCAATAAATTAATCCAAAACATAAAACAATATAAAAATCAAAAACTGTTTGCAAAGATTCATACTTTCGTTCCACTTATACTAGTCTAAGATACGAAGTAAGGTTGACCTTTGCCCATCTGCTTACCGGATAAAAGTTTTTTGAAATAACATATTCATTAATATACTGCATATGGGTATGAGTTGCCTAAAAAAATACTGCCAATACTATTATTTTCTTAAAGTAAAAAAAATAACCGACACCCTATAAGGTATCTCCCAGATGCTTTGACTTTGTCCAAAATTTAATCAGCTCACTGCAGGATGGATTAAGCCTTAAGTTTAAAATATGGTGTTTTCCTCTTTATCCGTTTGAGTTACCTTCAAAATTTTAAATTTGCACTTTCTTTCAAATATCTCGAATACGGTTTATTTTAGGGAAATCATATATAGGACCAAAATTATAGAGAAGGACATAACAAGCAATTTTTATGATGATTCGTATACTTTCCTTATTTGTATACAGAATGGAAAGTAAAAAATAGCATTGTCAGTATTTTTTTAGGCAACCCATTTGCGGTATATTTATTAATATATTTTATTTAATAAAAAATACCTCTAAATTGGGTAGCAGATGGGGACCTTATTTCGTATCCTGTACTATAATGAGTTATAAATACCAAGTAAACAAATCTATCATGTAAATTTTTTTATTTTGTCGAAAAACTGGCTAATAATACCATTTTTTTACTATACTTGTACTATCTCTCAAAAAAAAATGGCAACACTGGTCCACACGATCGCCAATCGCTCAGTTTATATTTGAATGTGGTAGATACTAAGTAGCAATTTTTTTAAAATTTTAGAACGGAAAACGATCAAACGTTTGAATTTATAGAACTGCATCAGGGCGAGCTAACAATTTTAAACACTAAATTTAAATATCAGAAAGTTTACGATGAACAGCCAGTATCCACCATCTTATTTTTCTCCTTTTTTTATAATTTTGTTAATAACATCCTTTAGTGGTAATTCTGTAATTCAATACGTTTTTTTTAACGGGTGTTAAATTTTACGATTTTAACATAAATTATAATTCTGTAAAAATAAAATTAACGCATACGTTAAATTTACAGAAAAAATTAGCATACGTTAAAAGAAGTTTAAATTTGCCATAAAAGTTTGGTTAGGTTTTAAGGTTTGTCAAATAAATGTCATTCCTCTTGTCATATTTATTGTATCTGTTTGTTTTTTGCACAAGAATGTTAAAAAAAGTAGCGGCTGAAATTTCAATATAAACAAAACTAACCCCCCCCCCCCCCCCAGTTACCTTATAATAGTGCCCTTCTACGGCAAATCAATTACTAACTACAAAAAGTTTATATACACTATAAAAAATATAATTTCTAAATAGAATTTGTGTAATTTCAACTGTTAAAATTAATTGAGTACTTTCAAAACGGTTTATTTTCATGATTTTCTTAAATTATAAGTTGAATTAAACATTCAAAAGTCATAATTTCTTATATGTTAAGTTTTAAAGCCTACTAATTAGTACCTGTTAATATCCTCGATTTAACGCATAAAATTAACACATTGTTGTTAAATTTTTAACATATTTCGGCTTATAGAAAAGATTTATGCGGCACAAATGAACTATTATGTTAATTATGACAAGTTAAAATTTTTCATAAATTTACAGAATTGCTTTTCATATTTAACATACGTTATATTTTTAAGGTCCGTTAAATTTTAACATATTCGTTATAGAATTACCACTTAAATGTGTATCGAGTTTCATCTTGGATAGAAAGTAAATGAACACAGGCGATCCACCATGGCCGATTATAAATAACAGCATTTACAATAATATTTTAAATTTAAGTTTGGTATAACAATCAAAGGGTAGTAGTCGAAAAATGGGAAATTTACCCATTTTAAATTTTAGAATTTAATACTAAAAATGATGCAATTCGTTTTTGAATATCCAACAATTTTGTCTTTTTATGAATGTATTTTTAAAGTTTAATTTTAAGTAATTCCCCTCTGGAAGTTGCTTAGACCTTTTGGTAGGTTCCATCACCTCATCTTCGATCCATGATTTATGGGACAACTTGCATACGTAAGTAAGGTCTAACTGGCATATTTATAATTCCAGAATAACTCGAATCATTTCTGACCTTTATTACTACTATTTTGTTTTTGAAATGCTATTGTGTTTTGTATAGTAATTTTCTTTGGTATTTAGCATGAAAAGAAGATAACATGTAATAAAGATATTTAATAGTAGCCCCATCCTTTGTTATAGTAGTTTTAAACTTTGTTTACTTTTTTACTTTATAATTAATTATTTTTAACTTATACTATTTTCTGTTTCAGAAAAGCTAGAAAATAAATAAAAATGGACAGACCAAAATTTTCCCTTATTAGTTGTAATTTCTTTTATCCCATTCCAATTGCTTTGTGTTTATTGGTTGCTAGACGTGTTTTCGAAAAGTAAGTAGAAAATGTTAATTACTAATTCGATAAATAATTTTAAAATCAATGTACCGTTTAGTTTTTATTTAAATTGGGTTTGGCTACAGAAAGTTAACATATTTTAGTGTGTATTTTAAGAGGGGATGTTTTGCGACATTTTATTTTTGGCTTTTGAATCAAAGTTGAAAAAGAAATTAAAAATCATGCCATTTTAATTCATAATTTCATTTTTTTCCCTATTTATTATAGATTAAAGTTTGTGGAAAATTGACCTTTTTTATATTTAATACTGAAAATCTCCCTATCATTATTTATAAGCTAATAATTACATACACGCTAGTTCAGTGTGATGTCATTTTGGTTCCACTGACATTCTAACCAAACTTTTAACAAAAACATCAATAAATTTGACATAAGAGGTCCGAAACCACCGAGGTACATATAAGTGGAGAAAACTCTTTCCTGCGGGCATCCCTTGTTAACTGAGATCTCTCTTGTTGTGATAAAGATATTACTGGTACTGGTTCTATAATTAAGCAAATCATTGCAAAATGCAGTATGCTACGTCACGCCTGAGTTTTTGATCCTAGTATTTCTAGTGCTACGCAAGACTTTCCAGCTTGGTAAGCAAACTGTTATTGATGTATCGGGTTATCCCATAGAACATCGTCACGTATATATCTATCGAATTTCTTCAAGAAATTTAGGAAAAATGATCTTGCGCTGATTGGTCTGAATGATTTGGTGTCCACGTAAGACGCTTTCTTAAGCTTCGGAATAAAGACAACTCTTGTAAACCTCCAGCTTTGTGAAACATATCCGAGGAAAATACTAGCTCGGAATAGTTCACATAGTGGTCCCTCCTGGGGCTTTTGAAGAAGTCCTGGATTTATACAATCGGGTTCCGGTATCTTGTATGGTTGAATGGAATTTATCGCCTGTATAAGTTTTGTTTTGTTTACTATTGCATTTTCAAGAAATCAATTTATTTTTGAAGCCATAGTAACTAATACCTCAATTCTTCTGTTCTCTTATGCGTTTGCGTCTACATTAAAGTTATCCTATTGCAAACATTTTAACTCTGTTACAACTTTGATTATGTGATATGTACTACTAAAATAAGAAATATGTAATAGTATATTATGCAACGATCATGTAATGATGGTTTTTCTACACCCGTATTATAATAATGCACTTATATGCCCATAATCCGTTTCATAATGATACCCATTATGATACAGATTTTTCATTATGATACAGATTTTTAATCAATAGAAACCTACAATTTTTCAATCAAGCATGATGTTTGACGTTTGTCCTAAATTCCTATGTAATTGTTTTAGTTGTCAAAACGTATTAAATTTTCGTAGATAGCTAAACTTCGATAATTATAATATTAAAATGTCTGATATCAGCGATATAGAAGACTCCTCCACACATATCGGAGAAAGGAGAAAATGCAGTACAAAATATTTTGCCCCAAAAATCTGTGGTAATACCAATACCCAAGGTAATACCATTAATTACAATTTTGTAGAATTTTTTATAGAAATACGAGTAATTACTGTTATTGTGTTAAATGCCAATATAAATAGAATATTTATAGGTCTTGATTATTTATCGGGTGTAGAAAAAATAGCGTATGCAACTCTCATGTAATGGTTATTACATGATCGTTGCATAATATACTATATTAATACACGAGCATTAACCGGGATACGAAACGAGCCAAAGGCGAGTTTCGTATGGTTTATCGATGTAAAAGAGGAATAAGAAACCAATAAAATTTTAAATGAAATTACCGTTAAAATATATTTAACATAACCTATCTCATCCTCCTAAGTCAAAAAGGGTATTTCAGTTGAAGAGTTTCGAGAGAAAGCATATTTTCTAAAAGTTGTTTTTGCGTTTCCTCAAGTCGAAAAAATAATTTAGGTACTGCTGGATTACTTTAAATTATTTTTTTTTTAATTTCTTGTGTCGTACATGGATATGCAGTCATTTAGCTTAGTATTAATGTCATACACCTAACCCTTTTAGTAAATACAAGTGAAGTTGAGATACGTGAATTTGTCTTTTTTTAATGTTTTCTGATGCGTTAAAAAATAAAAAAAAAAATTTTGAGATACCGCTTTTTTGCTTAGAAGGGCAGACTACAAATTCTACCTACCTTTTTATAAGTTTTATAAGTTTTTTTTTATAATATATAATCATGGGGGGGTAATTACCCCCCAGTACCCCCCCCCCCGTAAATCCGCCCTTGTATTAAAGTAGATGTTGTTAATAATATGCCAGTCAATGAAGACATCCTATCTTGAATATTTCACATTCACTTTGTAATAATAATAATGTCGAGAAAAAATGTGCAAACGTACTGATATCATCGACAAAAAATTGTAAAGGTGCTGCAAACCGAAGACATAACTAATACAAGTTTTTGGAACAGCTATTCTAACTTGCAACCTTTTATTTTCCACAAAAATATTTGCTGTTTGTTAAAATATCAAAATAATTTTTTTATTTTTCGCTAATTTTGTCAAAAAAATGCATGTTTTAAAAATGTTTCCTAAAAATCTGGTAAATTTGCAACAACAAGGTCCGGAACCTTGAAAAATTAACAAAAGTCAACAATTCGCACATTGTACAGTCGCCAAAAAATTTGAAAAGTATTGCAAGTTTTACAGAACGATTTAAATACCTTCCTATAAGTTAATGCAAAATTGTAATGCTCCAAAATGAATGCAGATGATTGTAAATTGTCTATGACTAATTATGGCATTGCGAAATTAATAGAAAAGTATCTAGGGCAACAAAAACATATTCATAAGCAATATGGAATTTGTAACTAAGCAAAATATTTAAATAATTTCTTGTTTTCGTTTTTTATCGAGAATAGTTATATTAACCCCACATTAAATAATTGGCTGACACGGTATAAACTAGTACATAGTAGAGAAAACAATCAATATCGTAAATCGAGCCAAGAATAAGAAATCAACTCAATACCGTTGTAAATAGGCTATTTAAGGGTTTGTTTTTGGGATTATCAAACCGTCACATCGGCGTTGGTCGATTGCAGTTTTGAAATAAAATTAAAGAATTTATTTTACAAGAAAACTATGTTATAACTACCAATTCAACTGGACGAGTAATTCACTGATTCGTGAAAAAATCAAAACACCTGAGTGGATTTAAGAGAAATATTTTTATGAAAACGATAAATCAAATTAATCGTTATAAAAGCATCCAGTGTACAACTCGAATGGATAAGTTTGTTCCCAAAGTAATGGATTCGGAGCACCGTTAGAAGCTTACTTTAATTGCCCGAATGACGGACACATTATCCGATGACGAATACCAATATTCAGACTTTCCACATATCCAATATTAAGAATCAATGAATTTGGAAGAAATTAATATTAAGATAACTAATGGTTCTGACAATCCTGGACCATCTGGTTTCAAGAAAGCAAAACTCTCATAATTTAAATCATGTTTTGTTTTTGTAAATTTATTTTATTAAAACAGCAGTTCTATCGTACCTTAATTTGTAAATTATTTCCTTTCAATTTCCTTTTTTAATTTTGTGAAAATCAAAAAATATTTCAATTTTGTTTAAAGTTTCAAATGATGTATTTCTTCGGTGACAAATTATCGTTTTCCATTTCCTTATTTTTTCAATAAATATTCTGCATATAATCAATACAATGATTATTTTAAAAAGTTAATAGTAGAACTTACTTATCAAACATAACAATCTTGTGGGTCATTTAATGTTTTGTTATTTCTATAATTTTTACAAAGATGAAAATCTAATAATAAACCGTATGCAATCACAGTAGTTAACGTGATAAACACCAACCATTTTTTTTATATGTTTGCTGAAGCATTTATCATAGAAAAACGAATAAATGTTTAAAAATTATTGACAAGTGATCCTATTAATAAATGTTTTCCTACTTTTCACATTAATTTGTATTTAAAATTTAAAATTACGAAATATTAATTTTGCAAATGTCCTTCATGTTTAATATATTAATTTTGTGACAGTGTTATTAATTGGGTTTACATATTTATGTTTTGATGCGAGTTTTTTTTTAATATCAAGAACAAAAATCTATACATAGTTCTGTCTAGAGTGACAGCCCTGATATTTGACTAAATACTTGTTTTTTTTATTCATAATATAATATATAATATAATATATTTTTTAGCTATATAACAACTATTTAATAACAATATTACAACTATAGAAGGTATTTTCTTAGTTTAACCTCGAAAATACCTGTTAGGGTCGATGCTCACGAACGTTTTTTGCAGTCACGTTGATTCAAATGCAATTTTTAATTCACACGTAGCGCTTCTTGTCCTTTTGTCCCGAGACAAGGCCAAGTAAATTCGTCTTAAGAACAGAAAAGATGAATGTGAGTTCGAAAAAAAGTTATATTTGTACCTATATCTTGTTTACAAACAGTTTGTGAGAAAAAAGAGAAAATACTGGGTGTATCCTTACTTAAGTTCCCGTTTACTAAAGGTTGAAAGGTGTTTTCATATTAAGCTTTTTGATTCAAGAAATATTGATGAATGTAATTTTTTTTAATTATCTTCGTATTGATATACTGAATGCAATGCTTAAATAAAACAAGGTCATTTCGGGTTATTTAGGTTGCAAATTGGAATAGCTGTTCCAAAAACTTGTATGAGTTATGTCATCAGTTTGCAGCACTTTTTTTTTGTCTATGATATAAACAAAAACGCTATTTTACAAAAAAAAAAAAAAAACATTCCGGACATTCAGAAAAGTTACAAATCTGATATAATGTTGAAAATAACACAATATATATCTGGGGCATGGTTCTAAAAGGGCCAATGTCATTTTTTTTGTTTGGGCTTTTATACACCGGTACACTACATTTATTTCAAACTTTATTGAGGTAAAACGGCCAATGTCTATCTTCTTCCGTTTAAAAGATACCAAAATAAATAGGGCCAAAGTTAAGATTTGAGAATAAAAATACTTTAATAAAAAAGGGCCAATCTTAACATTGGCCTTTTTTCATTATTATTTCTTACTGTTACGCTCTAACTCTAACCGGCCAAAGTTGAGATTGGTAAAAGGGCCAATCTTAACATTGGCCTTTTTTCATTATTATTTCTTACTGTTACGCTCTAACTCTAACCGGCCAAAGTTGAGATTGGCCTCTTTAAAATAATGCAAACCTTCCATACGCATGTGATTCGCACGAATCACGAAAAAGAAAGATAAATCCTAAGAGTTGGGAAAAAACAATAGAGGGATGTTAAAAACCCAAGGAAAGTCTTACGTTACAAAAAGCTGAAAAGTGGTGACTGAAAAATCTCTAAAAGAGGTGTGTAAATGCAGAAAAAAATATTATGAACAATTATCAGACGACGTACGGTTGGAGATTTTTAAAATCTTTTATAGCCTATTGCAGTCCGGTCAAAATCAATTTTTTAGCGAATAATGTGGAAGAAAATGAGAAGACTGTACAAAGAGTACGAGAAATTCGATCAAATGAAACAAGTAGACAAAAGTACACAAGGTCTCCCTTTTTATTCCAAAATCAAAATAGAATTAAAGTTTATCAGATTGTATTTCTTAATACTTTAAACGTGTCACTAAAAAAAGTAGGAATCATAGTAAAAAAAAGGACAACATCAGCTGCAATTTGTGCAGAAGATGGTAGGGGAAAGCATTTAAACCATCCGAAAATTCCAGAAGTAAATAATGATTTTATAAGGGAGCATATACAGTTCTTTCCAACTTTCCAGAGTCATTATTCCAGAGAACAAACAAAAAAGAATTATCTCTCTTCCGATTTATCTATTGCCGTTTTGTATAGACTGTACCGCGAACATTGCTTACAAAATAACAGAAAATCAAGATAGCAATTCAAATCTGTCATTTAAAAAACCATATAATGACACATGTGCCACATGTGATAGGTTAAACTAACTCCTAAAGTCCGCGAAAGACGAAATAGAACGACAACAATTTGAACCAGAAAAAAACTGAGCACCTGTTATTGGCTGATTCAGCTTACAAAGAAAAACAGGAAGACAAAAAGAGTTGCAAAACATATCCCAATCGTGTTGTTATTAGCTTTGATTTGCAGAAATGTCTTCCCACTCCTTATGTTATATGTGGAATGAAACAATTACTCATCGAGGCGGTTAGGAAATCGCATCCTGTTTATACCTATAAGTAAATCAACAGTCTGCCTCCAAATGTAGAAGAAATCATTATGTATAGTCACTACTGTCCGGATCAAAATAAAAACATTGATTTCCGTTATGAATTTGGTGATCATAAAACAACTCCAAAAGAAAGGACAGCGTCTAATAATTCACCATAAGTTTCTTGTCCCAGGGCATACACATATGGAGGCTGATACCATCCATGCAGCAATTGAAAAAGTAAAAAAATACGATAGTTAATATAGACATACCTAGAGACTGGGCAAATTTAATTCGATCAATACCTCGAAAACAAGATAACATTTTAGTGTATGAAATGGATCTGAAAGATTTTTTAAACTTTAAAGTTCTGCTCTCGGGTAAGTTCCAACATACAAAGACCAACACTCTAAGTGAAAAAGTAAAGTGGTCTTCTATTAGAGAAATAAAATATTCTCCTGATTCATTAGGCGAATTGAACTACCGATTTTCGTTTCATGAAAATTTTAAATATATGAGCCTCTTAAGAAAAAGGACAAGAAAATCTTATGTAATACACCTAATGCCTATTTCCAGTACACTTTTAGGAATGCCTGCCAATAAGATTCAACACCTAAGAGATTTGATGCCTTACGTTGATAAAGCTAGTCGACCCTATTACATGCAATTTTTGAGCACGATTACCGCATCTACGTCAACAACTGATAATTCTCTTTCGGATACTGAAGTCGAAACGTGTCAAGAGGAAGAAACTTTTTAGTTTATTATATAATATTTTTCCGTCTGGCACAGCCAAATGAAATAAATTTATATATTATAAGTACTATATCCTTATTATTTTTTAAGTTTTTGTTAAAATAATAAATCTTTGTATCACTAAAAATGGCGTGTTATTTTCAAACCTAAAAGGCCAATGTCAGGAAAAACTTTACTTTTTTGCCTATCAAAAAGGCCAGTGTCAATTTTTTTTTTTGGAAAATCACACTTCAGTGGAAAATTTGATAAATGTCCAGGGTAAAAGCTACTACTTTAAAAGATATACCAACAAAAAAAAAACATAATTGAATAACATAAATGTAAGAAAAAAGAACTCAAAATAATTAACAATTTTTATATTATTATTTCCCACATTTTCTTCAAGTTTGCAGCACTTTTGCAATTTTTTTTTTAGAAAGTTATAATACGTTTTAATTTTTTATAATTATTAATATGTTATGGACCTCAAAAAAAGTTGCAAAATTAAATTTATAATATGATCAATTTAATAAATATTCCAACAAAGTTTGAAAACTTTTGTAATTAATGTGAATTGATTATCTCAAATAACTGCCCTATGATGTAAACGTGTGAACATACGAAAAACCTTAAACTGTTTGTAGACAATTAAGACTTTTATATTTTTACGACGGTATTTTCCATAAAGTGTGGGCCATCCGGTAAATTCATCAATACCGATTTTATTTTTTCTTTTTTGTAGATATTGCTTCGAACCTGTTGGAGTTTCTCTGGGAATAAATCCCCCCAAAGTGATATATAATAGAAGTAACTCTCCATTAATAAGTACATTGAAAACTACAAATTTATTATCCTCAGCTCAAGTAAGTTATCACAAATTGATTTTTTTGTTACAATGGATTTAATAAAGTTACGGGTTTAAAGTGTTAAAAGTTTTAGAGTCATGTAACATTAACGGCTAGGTGAGGACGGATTTTAAAGTTCTGCTTTGTCTTAATTAGTCAATTAGTCAACTTTAATAAAAATAAAGGTATGACTTAAACGTAATAGAGAATAATTGGATTAGGTAATTATTTCCTGAAGCTAAAGCTTATAAATTGTTCTACCAAAAGGGCGTATCGTTTAGTTTGAATCACCATTACCTATGTACAATAACTTTCTTAATTATTCATACACAGGGTGTTTTACAAATTAAGTCTGTATTTTTATTATGTACTTATTTATTCAAATAGAGGTAAAACAAATTTAGTTTTTTCTTGTGTTTTGTCTCTAGAAAATATGAACGTGGTGCATGTCTCACAACATGCACAGAATATACTACCTATACGAATACCATAAATATCCACTAATTGGTTATTGGGTAGTATACATGAAAATTGGGAAATTGCTTTTATTTAAAAATCGGTAAAAAATATTGCTTTTCTATCTCTACCGTCGGAGAGGGTGGATTGCTGCACAGCACTTAGGCCTCATAAAGCCCATTGTGCATCATCCAGGGGCATTTTTCCTTAATCAAATGAGTTTTTGAAGGTGTTTTAGTTTATTGAACGAGTTATTTATGACGGATTTTTTGTTTTTAGGTTTCAAACATAAACAAATATTTGTTTATATCCACAACTTTTTTCAATAGTAAATCGGAGACGAATCATAGAATTTGTCGATTTAGCAGAAGCTGTTGGCATTTTATGTACTATCTAATAGAATTTAGTCATGGTATGATCATTTTATGGAACAAACCCTGGCTGTGGGACATTCGAGAATGTTGGTACGTAACGTAATCTTGAAAAAAAAGTGTTTGCTCTACATGGACCAACGACGAACAATTACTAATTGTTTACAAAAATCGGAGTTATACATATACGGTATTATACACGTAGTTGCCAAATTATCATAAGAGAGTATGGGAGAGTCTTGTTAGCAAGATTTTTTATACTTATAATTCGGTATAGGCTCAACCTCAACATCAGGTGTTTAAATGAACAAAAGTCTTTAAAAATTACATTCAGGAAGTACATTTACATTCTTAGTGCCAGATATTATATGTTTAATGTATTTTCTGGTTGAAATTATTATTGAAGTAGAAGGTGTAACGCAGAAATCATACTAGTACAACAAGCCGTCTCGCTCTTACTAATGAATGCGACAGTAAATAATGCCAAATATAAAACAAAATCTGAATGCTTACAATAAATAAGGGCTTAAATTTAAATTGATTATTCTAGTGGTTTTTCGTTGTTAACATGGACCTACAAATTTAGCCTACTTATTGTTTTTTATTATTTTTCATTTAATTGATGAAACAATTGCTTTTATTGTTAGTGAAGGGTGAGTTTGGAACACTTTTTAAACTACGCATGCGTGACAATAGTTTTGAACTTGGTTGACCTACCAAAATATATCAAAAAGTGATCTAACCCACATACTTTGATTTTCTTTTACTATACGGAGAATGGTCGCACTACGCGGCTTTCTGAGTGCCTTTTAAAAGGAGATAGAAAACTCTGCCATTTTAAACCACATACTTTGATTTTCTTTTACTATACGGAGAATGGTCGCACTGCGCAGCTTTCTGAGTGCCTTTTAAAAGGAGATAGAAAACTCCGCCATTTGAACCCTTATTACGTGTTGCCTACATCTTGGCGCAATATTTTTAATAGGTGCGTTTTAATCATCCGCTTCTGCTTTGGAATTGTCGGCTTTCTTGTTTTAATCTGACAGGTTAAAACGACTAAACCGACAATTCCGGAAGCAGAAGCGGATGATTAAAACACACCTGATATTTTGCTTGCTGCTGTCAGTGTCAGTGAATATTATTTTTGAAGTCACAGTTTATTGCTAAAGAATCAGCTCACTCGGATCAGTTAAGAGTTCCAAAATAACATCCACTCCAGGGATACAAATTCAAGATACGCAGAAGACTGCTGTTTTATTATAGGCGGTTGTCATATATTGTATTATCCGAGTTGCACAGTGTATAAACTGAAACATTGAGATCCAAAGTGCCGACGCAGAGTGAGCGATCTGATTCTTTAGCTGTAAACTGTGTCACAGGGTTCAAAATGGCCGCGCCCTATGTTGGGCGTGTCGGACCTCTCTCTTGCCTCGTATAGTAATCAAAGTATGTGTCGTATAGTAATCAAAGTATGTGGATCTAACCTAATATTTTTTAACTTTCAGCGACAGTTGGCTAACCTTTTAATAGATGGCGCTCTAACATAAAACGTATCTCTTCTAGCTAATGGGAAATCTATAGGCCTTTTCATGATGTAATTTATATATTTATTTATTTATTAAGACATCCAACAGGCTTTATCAGCCCAATTACAGGAGTATTTAATATATTTTGAAATACAAAGTTTGAGAATACTTAACTAAATTACATTCAATTGCCCAATTTAATACCAATCTGTAACATTGCTCTCTAAATTAGTAAAATTTAAAAAAAAGTATTGTTCTGAATTTATCAGTTGAATATGAAATGTTATATTTGACCTTGATGTAATACGTGGGATATGAAAATTAAATTGAGACAGCAGAGAAGGTGACTCTATAGAATTATTAATTAATTTACAGATGAATATCAAATCTGCTATTTCTCTTCTTTTTCTCACAAAACCGAATTATTCTAACAATAAATTATAGTCATAGTGACGAATAGGATAACAACAATGTTTTTTAAAGTAAATAAATTTTAAAAATTTTCTTTGGACAGATTCAAATGCACTTATGTACTTTAAATGATTAGTATTCCAAACACAACTGCAATACTCCAGTTTGCTAGGAACTAGTGTAAAATAAACAGATAAGATGGCTTTTAAGATTTAAACTTTTTACAGTTTCTAATAAATCCCAAGATTTTTGTTGCACTTTGTACAGTGTTTTCAATGTGTTCCAAAAAAGTCAGTTTGCTGTCAAATAAGATACCTAAATCTCTGTAATTATATATCCTGGGAATAACAAGATTATTTAATTGATAATCATATAAGACAAAGATAGTTTATTTACGATACACCAGTTATGTAAGTTGACAAGGTCGTTTTGAAGAGCAATGCAATCTGAGGTATCCTTTATTTCCCTATAAATTTTCATATCGTCTGCAAACAAAACTTTTTTAGAGTTGATACAATGACAGATGTCATTAATAACAAATAATAATGGGCCCAAATTTAAGCCCTGAGGAACCCCTGACGTTGACACGAAATTAAAAAATTTGGCACTCTCGTATTCAACATATAACTGTCGATCAGTTAAAAACTCATTTAACAGTGATTGCATACTCTTTCAAACACCAAATTGTCTCAGTTTCAGAAGTAATTGTTTGTGAGATGCCTTATCAAACGCTTTACTAAAATCTGTGTATGCGACGTCAACTTGATTTCTACAATCTAAAGAACTAGAACTCATGTTGAAATAGCGGCAATTCAATAGTTTCGTACTGTTTTGATCGACAATTGCTGAGAAAGCAATATTATCTCTACACGCAAATCAATCATAGTTGTGAGCAATTAAAGAGGTGGTTAAAGTGCCTTAGACGTTTGAAACAAGGCAAAAAAGTGTTCTGATTGAGAAGTTAGGTGTATTAATACTTATTTACTGTGTAAAAAAATAATGAAAACAAATAATAATCATAATTCTATTCTAATTAATTATGCCAACCAATATTAGTACTTGAAAAAACACTTTAATCAACTTGAAAGTTTTTCATGAGTATAATAATAAAATAAATTATTTATTAGTTTGAGGATCAACATGACATTTTTAATCATATTACTGTGTATACCGAGGTTGTTTTAATAAAAAACTATTGTGTAATACCAGATAACGATTTTCTCCTGTTGAAACACTTTCTCCATGAAAATGTAGTGAACAAATATAAGTGTCTTTAGTAACATCATCAATCGATCGAAAACCTTTTGCCAATTATAAACATGTTTTAATATATATTTTTCCTGATAATTTGATAATTTTTCCGATATTTTTAGCCAAAGCTTTGGAAAATGTATAAAATAATATTTATTACCTTTGAATGAATTATACCGTGTGTCACCTTTAGATACTTCATAACAACACCGTTTCGTTTTCGTTTCCGTACAGATAACATAATTATAATTAACAGAAAAAATTATTTTTCAATTAAGACACTTATTATTACTTTATATTTTCTCCCTTTTTTTGAATGAATATACTTAAATTAGTATTTATCGATAATAATTTTATTCACATGGGCATTTTAACATGCTTATTTACAAAAAACAGTACGAAAAAAAGGTTAATACTGTCGCATGCGCATAAAAAAAATATGACAAGGCCTATTCGAGCCAACCACGTGTCAGCTGCCAGCGATAGAGAATTGGCTAACCTGTCTAACATATATGTTAACTGTGAATCCTGTCATCTAACCTAACGGAGATAAAAGATGGCGGCAATCGAGTAAAGGCACATACTTTGATTTGATTACTATACGAGGCAAGAGAGAGGTCCGACATGCCCAACATAGGGCGCGGCCATTTTGAAGCCTGTGACACAGTTTACAGCTAAAGAATCAGATCGCTCACTCTGCGTCGGCACTTTGGATCTCAATATTTCAGTTTATACACTGTTCAACTGTACACTGACAACCGCCTATAATAAAACAGCAGTCTTCTGCGTATCCTGAATTTGTATCCCTGGAGTGGATGTTATTTTGGAACTTTCAACTGGTCCGAGTGAGCTAACTGATTCTTTAGCAATAAACTGTAACTTCAAAAATAATGGCCGCATTCAGCAGAAGCAACCGATTATCAAACGATAACTTAGCGATGACTTATCGATTAGTGAATCTCCTGAATGAACTTTTTAGGCACTTCGACAGGCGACATAAAAGTGACATGTACTTCAGAAAAAAATCATCATCTGAAACATAGGTACAAAATTTATAATAAAACACAAATAAATTACTCAACTACATAATTATAAATTACTGTATTTGCCTGATCTTAATGCATTGTGCAACACTTCGTTAACAAGTACAATATATTTCATATTGTTATAAACATATATCACTTCAAAGTCCTCCATTTCAGTGAAAAATGACACATCCAGTGTAAAAATGAATTCAAAATAAACATAAAATAAGGTTATACGTTATGAGCACCACCACAAAACATTCACTTCAGTTTGTATGAGTTCTAAATCTAATCACGATGTGATAACTAATCGTATTTTAAATTCGATGTTTTAAATGGCGGCCGATAACTCATCATTTGATTACTAATCGCTCTTTCATATATCATTCAGCAGAAAATCATAAATCGATTGCTTCTGCTGAATGCGGCCAATATTCACTGACACTGACAGCAGCAAGCAAAATATCAGGTGCGTTATAATCATCCGCTTCTGCTTCCGGAATTGTCGGTTTAGTCGTTTTAACCTGTCAGATTAAAACAAGAAAACTGACAATTCTCAAGCAGAAGCGGATGATTAAAACGCACCTATTAAAAATATTGCGCCAAGATGTAGGCAACACGTAATAAGGGTTCAAAATGGCGGAGTTTTCTATTTCCTTTTAAAAGGCACTCAGAAAGCTGCGCAGTGCGACCATTCTCCGTATAGTAAAAGAAAATCAAAGTATGTGAGTAAAGGTAAATGTTGAAAAGAAAAATCATATCCAGTGGCAATTCCAAAAAGACTCAAGTTCATATCTCCCTTGCTATTGGTTCATTTTAATTGGGACAAACAGATGAGTGGAGGAAGTTACGTGTAGATTATCGTTAAAGTAAAAAAATTAACGCGTAGTAGCATTTCCAAAAGATTCTAAGTCTATATCTTTGGTGATATTGGTCCGATTTAAACGGGAAAAACGACACTATGAAGGAGACGTGACGTTTTTAACTATTTAATAAAAAATTCATTTGCATTGACAATGTCAGAAGAGTATTAACGTATATCTACGTTGCTATTGGTCCGATTCAAATAGAAAAAAACGGGAATGGGGAAGAATTTATATTTAGAACAACTTTGAAGATACAAATTACGCGCAGTAGCAATACTAATATATCTCAGTTGCTATTGTTTCGATTCAAACGGGAAACATGAGGGAGTGGAGAAAATTAGATGTAGAATAATGTTGAAGAGAAAAATTACGCACACAGGCAATGCAAAAAGGACCTAGGTGTATATCTTCATTGTTATTGGGCCTATTCGACTGGAGAAAACATCCACGGTTTCCAGTCGGATAAATTACATGTAGATTAACTTTGAATAGAAAAATCACGCACAGTGAGAATGCCAGAAGGACTTAAGTTTGTATCTTTATTGTTATTTGTCTGATTAAACAAGATAGATTGCATGGTAACTGTCTTTGGCAATAAATATATGCTATAGCATAGCCAAAAGGACCTTAGGCAGACATGCGTACTAGGAGATGGATCGAATAGGTAGACATATGGATAGCTAGACAGAAGGACGGACAGACTTTTACTTTTAAATTCTTTATTCAATGTTTAAAAATTTTTACAACACAATAAATCAACATATAAATAAAAACACACTGTACGCAGTACAGATGTGCGACCCTAAAAGTAAACCCTTAAGGTCTAAGGCGATCCCTCCGCCTGTTACATGCCGTATACTTTATGTATTATGATTATGCTAAATATAGCCGCCCTTACTCCTTACCCTTGGGGTATTATTAAGGGATTATGTGGGATTGTGATCGGGAATTGTAGGTAGTTTGTAAGTGTGTCGTGTTTTTATTTTCGTATTGTCCCCTGAAAAAGCTAGAAAAAACAGGGTTGTCGTTTGTGGTAAGTGGTCCTGTATTAGTCTGTGTCTTGTTGTCATAATTCACTGGGAGGGTGGGCTATAAACTGCCCGGGAGTGCCTCGGTCGATTGCGAAAATTCGCACTCGGCCGAGATTCTACCAGTCGATTTATCGCTCAGTTCTCCGTCGGACTATATTTCGTAAATATCCAGTCCGTGTGAATTATTGTTTAGTATTGTAGAGATTGTCGTGGGTCCTGTTATTGTCGTCTATATATGCTTAGATTTTTGTGAACACAGCCGTGTTTTCTACGCACGCCGTCTCCCTGGTGAATTTGAGTGATACTCTCCCTCAGTTCCTCAGGGAGGCATCGCGCGTAGAAGTTTTCAGCAGTTTGTATAATGAAATCTTTAATCATAGGCATATTTGTCGTCTCGTGTATGTCTCGTATTCTAGCATAGCGGTCGTAACCCAGTGCTAGCCTGAGACATCTGTTTTGTGCCCTTTGTAGTGGGAGAAAATATGAATTTGGCATTGAACAGTATACTGGACAACCATATGTCAGTATAGGCCTAAATATAGTTTTAAAGAGTAGAATTTTGTTCGGCAGGGTTAGCTTGCTCCGTCTATTCATTAAGGGGTACAGAGACCTCAGAATACCGGAATTTTTCGCTACCCTGTCTTTTATGTGGGCCCTGAACAATAATGTTTTGTCTAGCAGAAAACCGAGATATTTTAGTGGAGTTTTAGTCTCAATTGTTTGATTCTGTATTTGAAGGGGCGTGTCTATGCCCTGGATACGCCTTTTTGTTAGTACTATAGATTCCGTTTTACTTGAGTTTATTTTCATTTTGTTCTCTGCTAGATAATTCATTAATGTCCCATTAATATGATCGTCCAGCCTGCTGCTCGCTGTTTGTGCAGATCTGTCGCTGGTAAAAATACAGATGTCGTCGGCGTACTGCGCCGTTTGTACCCCATTACGACCCATTGGTAAATCATGGGTCATGATAGTGTACAAATGCGGCGATAGTACTGAGCCCTGAGGTACTCCCGCCATTGCTAGGAAAGGTCCTGTTATTGTTGAATTTACTTTTATGTTGAATTTTCTGTCCGTAAGATATGACAAAATTGTTTTAACAATGTGCCCAGGAAAGTAATTCATAAGCATTTTGTAGATTAACCCTCGGGTCCAGACGGTGTCAACGGCTTTTTCCGAATCAAGCGCCACCAGCACTGTTTGCAAGTCCTGATTGTATGCCTGTTTGGCATGATGGACAATTCTCAGGACTTGGGCCACAGTGCTGTGCCCCTCTCTGAAACCGTACTGTTCCCTCAGGATAATTTGTATTCGTTGTTCGATTGTCTTAAGTCTGCGAAGTAAAATTGTGTCTATTATTTTGGCAAGTGTGTTTAGTAATGAAATGGGGCGGTAACTATCAATATTATATTATTCCGACGGACAGATGAGACAGATGAGGCAGACAAGCGGAAGGAGAGACAGATGGATAGACAGACGGAAGGACGAAAAAACGAAAAAACGAGCTTGAGAGACAGACGGATTGACAGACGGAAGGACGGATAGATGAGGTAAACAGACGGACAGGCAGACGGGCGGTTGAACAGACGGACGGATAATGAAATTCATTAAAATTCTTAGAAGGTCTCCTAGAAATTCATATTGCTCTATCCGACCTTCTGTCTGCCTTTTTGACCGTGTGTATGTCTATAAATTTCTAAGAACTTCTATAAATTTATATGACTAAAAATTTCTATTAATTTTTCTATCTGTTCGTTTGTCCTGCTGTCCTTCTGTCTGTCTGCCTCGTCTGTCTGCCTCGTCTGTCTGCCTCGTCTATCTTGATCGTCTGTCTTCCTCGTTTATCTTCTCTGTCAGTCTGTTTTTCTGGCTGTCTGTTTTCTATCTGTCTATCCGTCTGTCTGCCTAAGGTCCTTTTGGAAATACTACAGCATAGATGTATTGTCAATGATAGCTACCATGCAATTTATCCCATTTGAATCGTTGCAATAATAGCGAACCTAATGCATTTTTGGCTTTGTCGTTGTGTCCCACAATGTCACTTCTTTAGATTCTCCAGAGGCTTAGGTATCCTCTTCTTCTTTGGCTTCCTATTTCAAGAAAGCTGACACCCTTATCTACGCTTTACCAGCTGACTATTAGCCATTCCTTTAACTCCACGGTGTGGTATTACCGACTGGTTGTCAAGTTAGGATAGATATTTACTACATATGTTAGAATTTTGACAGTTAGCTCTATTTTTGACAGTTGACATATGTTAGGTTAGCCAACTTCAGAGCCATGCAACAAGCAAAGTTTGAAAAGTGTTCCAAACGCTCCCGTAACCTACTTTTGTGGCAACAATTATACATAATGTTTTTGTTTTAGGACAGGCTACCCATATCAGAAAATGAGCAGTGACATTTGGTTTTACTACGTTATAAATTTGGCGTATTACTGGTCGTTGATCATTGAAGTATTTTTGCACAAAAGAAGAAAAGATTTTACAGAAACGGTCGTTCATCATGTTGTAGCGATATTTTTGATTTATATATCGTTCGTTATGAATTTGTTCCGTATCGGAACGCTAGTCATTATCGTTTTGTTTGTTAGTGACATATTTTTAGAAGTAAGTCAATTAATTTAATTATTTTACCCATGATCTTAAACTTAAAAAAAAAATAAACAAAAAATTAAATAATATCCAAAATACCAACAAGTATTCAGATATTTTGCTCATGTGAAAACGTGGTTTATCTGCAACACTATTCACCTAATTTTAAACAAAAAGGAGTGCAAAAATACATTATAAAAACATAACAAAATTTAACGATTTATTTGGCAAAATGGTGTTAAATATTTAAGCGTACCGTTAGAAGAACAGTGACATATTTCAAAAAGTTAGTTTTGAGAAAAAGCGGTTTTAAAATTTTAAAGTATATTATGAACAATCTAATATTTCAAAAAATATGCACGTATAGTTTTCTTTTAACATTGTTTGCCTTTAATAATTAAGAACAGTCTCATATAAGGAATTACAATTTGGATTGTGTCGCTATTTAAAAATATTGTTTTATTAATTTTAAACACTTATGACATTGTACCAGTTTAGTTTTTTGTTCAGGAGCTCTAAAGGTTTTAGTTCATTTATCAACCTTTACCTCGTAAAAAGGACCATTTCTGTCTTCTTGAGATTGATAATCTGTAAATGTTCCTGGCACCTCTGTTGTATAATTTTGAGACCTATTTGCATTCGTTCGCAGAGTATATTTTCAATATTTTCTGCTTTCAGATTGACTAGGTCATAGTATACGCTATTGTGTAGTGACTCGTTATTGAGGCGACAGATAAGGTGCCGAAGACCATGTTCTACAGTAGAGGTCATAGTACATCCCATCTCAATCAAATATTTTATATTTACATCCTACATTTAGGTTTACTGCTCACTTGGAGATCATGTTCTATATTTATCCACTAACTAACTGTGGAACATTCCTGTTGGTTAGTGAGTGTATTATTTTGGAAAAGATGGTCTTGTCAAAAGCACCTTCTATGTCTGTGAAAACACCCAAGGAGCAGTCTTTATTTTCAGGGATCTTTATATCCGGTCAGCAACTTGGTGGAGGGCTGAAACAGTAGATCTGCCTGAGGTGCATATATATGTTGATTTGGTTGAAGTGGTGTTGTTGTAATCATTATATCCCTTATTTACCTTCCGAACAGCCTTTCCAATATCTTCATGGAAAACGATGTTGGGCAAATTGGCCGGTATGATTTTGGGACAGTGTAATTCATCCTTCCAGGTTTGGATATGAAGACAACTCTTACATTTCTCCACTTTTTAGGAGTTATACCTCAGAGCCAACATAGAACTGTACAAAATGTACTTAAGCTAATTTAAAAGTATCATCATAACTCACTTGATGTTGATTCAATTTTTTTTAATTAGTGTATTTATGTTGTTCTCTTCTATATTTTTTTTGTTCCACTAGCCAGTTAGCTCTTGAAGCCATTGCTAAAAATAACTACCAAAAAAATTAAATTTAGTCAAAAACACTTTTTACTGTTTTCGAAAGAGAAATGGATTAAAAATAAATAAAAGAAAATAATCAAAGACTAGCGACACATTTCAAAATCTAATTTTTTCAAATAGCAACGTACTAGTATTAACAAAGATAAAAAACAAGTTGAATAACGTCACATTTTAAAATAAGACAGTATTTTTTTATATATAATTAGGACACTATTCTTCTTGGTAACAGTTTAATTAAAACGATAATAATTGATTTGTGACACTATTCCTCGAGCTTGAGACGAACTAAAAAATGATACTATCTCTGAGCAAATATTAGAACTACAAGTTGTCTTTGTTTATGGACAAATTTTATTGTTTTTATAATTTATGTATTTAAATTGAAAATAATAGATTTTGAGATATAGTTATTGCAATGAAATTTCCCATGTTTTGATATTTTATAAATTTAAATTGAAAATAATAGATTTTGAGATATAGTTATTGCAATAAAATTTTCGATGCACGTCATAAACTCATTAAAGTAGACGTTGCCAGGTTGCTACAAAATTTGAGGATCCTAAAAAACATTTTATAGAAAACTAATGTTTAATTTGAACTCCATCTTTTAACACTTTAAATAATTAATTCATTAAACCTATATAAACATTTTTAGAAGCTTTTGAAAGTAGTTCTTCTAATATTAAGAAATATGTAGGATAAAAATAAACAACAAGTAAAGCTTTATTCAGAATAAGAATCACTATTAAAATCAATAATTACAGGTAAAATATCCTCCCGTCCAAATACAACTTAAAGATCCCAACATTTCTGAATAGTTGTTTCAATATAACTGATAGAATTAGACCAGAATCGTTGAAGGCTCAGTTAAATTCATAAGTAATTAATTCTCGAACAATTTAAAAAATTAGCTTTATTCATTTCCCCATGATAGTCAGGATTGTTACTATTTAATGAAAACACGAGGGCTTTGATTCTCGACTTCACGGAAAAATTTTCCCATGGGTAATAATTCCACTACTTATTTCCAGTGGTATTATAAAACGGTATTCTCCACTAGGTTAGGAATTAAATTCGTATGGGAATTTTGATTATTCCTATATCCAACGCATGTCTGGTATTCAATACGAAAATATTGGAAACTGACCAATATTTCATCAATATTTTCAAGTTATTGGGTTGGGTACAGTTAAATTCATAAGTAGTTGATTCTCGAACCATTTTAAAAAATTTGCTCCATACATTACGCCATAATAGATGGGGCTGTTATTATTTGATGAAATCACCGGTTCTGCTTCATCAATAAAACCATTTTCGTTACCAGCATAAAGAGAAATGAATTTTTCTCCATTAACTCTTGTAGTTTTTACAACCGTTTTATCGTTATTTTGCCCAGAACGGTTTACTGTGCCATTTTGAAAAATGCATGTTTCAACCATATAAACAGATTTCTATAAAGACAGATTTTTTTTGTACCTACTTTAAAAAACCAATCTTTTACTAACATGAGGAATTTCCATAAGACCACGCCGGGGATCATCTTTCTTTTATTTAAATCCTATATTGGTTAACACTATAATGATCTTCTGCAGCAACATTTCTTTTGCGTTAAAACTTCATGTAATTTCGCAAGAGTTTCTTGTTGTTTCTTCTTATACATATCGTAAATGACATCAAAAATGTAGTCAGAATTGAAAATTTTGGATACAGGTTTGGGGCGTGGTCGCGTTTTTGGAGAAAAATTCAAAATAAGGTTACGCTTTAATGCCTGGGAAATTGTGCTTACCGTCGAAATAATTAAATTCAATGCCGTTGCTACATATTCTCTGACTGCATGTATTGGTAATTAAGGGCAACAACTATCTCGTTCTTCTATAAAATATCTTATTAGAGGCCCCACCAATTCTTTCGCATGGCTATTGAAATGCTTAGACATTTTAACAAGTAATAAAAGTAATTTTAAAAAACCGTGCAGATGCCGTCACCACATCTTAACCAAATTTTTGTGGAACCCCCTTACTAACAAAAACGAATCGTAGAATTCGGACATGGGTAAAGAATTATCGCTAAACATACATAAAAAATGACGAATTTGAGGATTTTTTTCATGGACCCAATTATAAGATTTTGACCAAATTTATATGGGACCACCCCTAAGGTACCCCCTACAAATAAAAAAGGATCATAGAAATTGGACAAGGTGATAAAGAAAAACCGCTAAACATACATTAAAAATTAAGAGTTTGAGGATTTTCTAATGGACCCAATTATTAGATTTTGACCAAACTAATGTGAAACCACCCCTGAAGTACCCCCTTACTAATAAAAAAAGAATGATAGAAATCGGAAAAGGTGGTAAAGAATTATCGCTAAACATACATAAAAAATTAAGAGTTTGAGGATTTTCTGATGGATCCAATTATTAGATTTTGACAAAATTTATATGGGACCATCCCTGAAGTACCACCTTTCTATATAAAAAAAGAATAATTGAAATCGGACACCGTGATAAAGAACATACATAAAAATAGAAAATATACCGACGAATTGAGAACCTCCTCCTTTTTTAAAGTCGGTTGAAAATCAAAAAATAAATGTGTTTTTTAATTACAAAAATATTAATGTTGAAAATTTGTAAGGTTGACAATTCAATAATACATGTCCTTAGATTAAAGAGTCCGGAGATGTAACATTGTACACAGCGCATGTTGTCTATTTCAACCGCTACCCTAATAATTGTTGCAACATTTCTATTCTACCAAAGCATATTAACCGTTGAGTAGCGACAGCTGGGGAACCGAATTCTAGTGCGCCGACGCCAAATAGAGAGGCGAGACGTCTTCTAAAGATGTAAACAACCCCTTTCACTTTAGTCCGGCAGCTGATATAGAAATTCGTTGTTGTGGATTTATTAGTCAAAAATTGTATTTCGCGACATATTTAAACAACGCGAAATTTAAAGTTTGAGACAACTCGATTAATAAATAAGAAGGTCCATAAGTAATAATTTCTATTGTTATCAAAAATCAAAACACTGTGCACCTACCAACTTTCAAGTCTCTAGCTCATCCAGACGTAGTAGCCCAAGAGCCCACTGCAAATATTTACCGTCATCTGATAACGAAATGAAATATACCCCAAAAGCATGAAAAAACATTGTATTTTACCAAATGGTACCTGTGCCAATCCCAATTTTGAGCAAAGTGGCTTAAACAAATTATTTTATTTTAAAAAATCACATAAGGCATGACAGCGCTAATTTTGTTTGCCCTTAAAGTTTTCCAGAAAATAACATTCAAATATATCTTGATATATATCGTTAAAGGGAAACATTTTCTTCCTCTTAACATTGCACAAAAACATCTATCCACGATTAGTAGGTAAATATCATTAAAAATATTATTCAATGTTTGCTGATTTAAAAATTTATTTGTATGCCTATTGTTGTGATTCATTTTTACAGGTTGCCATAGAAACGACAAAAAAACTACTATGATTATGGTTTAAAATAATTGTCAACAAGAGTTTATAATTATTATTGACTATCTCTGCAAATGGTTTATACAATGTCATCCTTCTTCGTTTCATACATAAAC